GTTTAAAAATGGCAGCAAGGGGCTGGGGATTTAGCTCAGCGGCAAAGCGCCTGCCTGGCAAGTGCAAGGTCGTGAGTTCAGTTCCTGGTACCGGAGAAAAACCAAAAAAAAAAAAAAAATGGCAGCAATTACTGAGTGAACAGATGTAATCTGAGATTTTTTAAAAAGCTCGATATGCAAGTATTACTAGAGGCATCCCATTGGCAGACATTTGTTCAGGACAGCTAGTGGATCAACAATAAACGGCCACCAACCCTTTCCTGTGGAAGGAAGGAAGGGGATTGTGGGAAAGGTACGCTAAAACAAAAGAAACAAAGATATTAGCTCACAAATTAGGGCAGCACATGGGAAAAGGGCCAAAACTGGGAAGCAGAGGAAATGCAAATTGTGCTGACTTTTCCACTCTGCCCAACAGTGACGCCAACAATCTTCAACTGGGCTGGGAAGAACAAAAGCAAGTCTCACAATTTAATATGATTAATGTGATCTTTTGTTACAAATATGCTTCATTTAAATTCATTCAGAGGATATTTGTTTCATGAAAATATTAGAATAAGAATTTTTTCGAGATGAAAGGCAGAGCAGAGGTTATTTAGTCAGGCTTTAAGTTCAGGAATTCTAAACACTTCTTTCCACCAATACACACTCAAGAAGCTTTTGTCTGTACACTCAAACAATAAAGTTCTTCTACCCAGGTGGACAATTAAAATGTGCGAGAGTTTCAAGAAAGAACTGAAGAACCATTAGGCAAATAAACACCTCCCAAAGATTAAGAATAATAGGAGGGACAGAAGCTTTAATTTCTCCAATTTTTTTTCACCTACTTTGCAAGTGAGCTTTATTTTTAAGATTATACAGATCATTAATGACTAATTATAAGCTGTTTTCAAGGATATAACTTTGGCAATAATTTTGTACCAATTTGTTTTAGGATTAAAAAAAATTCAGCTGTTCCATTTGGTTTAGGAACCAGCAAGATTTAAATTTCTAATTTCCAAAGCTACTGTATATTTGGCTAATTAATTCTAGCATCTGACAATTCAAACCAAAACAAAGAACAAAGTTTCAAGGATAATATCTAAGGCTTCTAAAACAGCAAAAACTCCAGCTGTGTCTTAATCTCCTACGTTCTTTACGGAGCATCTTAAAGATTTTCTCAGTAATATCTGACCTAAACCTTATGCCCCTCCCCGCCAAAAAAGTGGTTAGCCAGCCTCTGAGAATGCCAATGGCATTTCATGTCATCCTTCTCCACATTATACCAGGTTTGGTCTGTCTGCTGGTTGAAGTGCTAGTCACTTCCACGATTAGATGCCAAGGCAGCACAGCTTCTATCCTGATTACTGCCTATTCATCCTGCTTCTCTCCCCTCTAGACCATTAGCTCTAGAGAGAAGGTGAGCCACCATCTTTCGAAGCAGCCCTGGGGAGAGGCTCTCACATCTTGTGAACCAAGGCCTCCAGCCAACAGCCATGTAAGCGCACCATCCTGGAAGCCGATCCTCAGCCCCAGTCCAGCCTTCCAATGACCGTAACTCAAGAGAGACCCAACAACTTTGGTCAGATTCCTGAACTGCAAAAACAGTGCTGTTTTAAACTGCTAGATTTAGGGATGTTTGTTACACAGCAATAGAAAATTCACTGAGAAAGCAGATAAACTTTAGAGGTCATCAGCCACAGTGGGCCTTCAACTCATGCCAGTCACTAAGTAAAATTATACAGTTTGGAATATTTTAATTTTGACCAGGCTTAACTTGCCATAGATCCAGTGGATCTAAAATATGCTATAAGTTGTCCACAAAGCTATGACAATAATGTATTAGAAATTATCAATTAATGGTACCTTTTTCTGCTTGTATATTTTACATTAAAAAACCTCTTGAATTGAGGGTGAGACTCAGTGGTATAGCACCAGCCTAGCAGATATGAAGCCCTGGGTTCCATCCCAGCATCCCATCACCAAAAAAAAACAACTCTCAAGAGAACACTTGGGAAAATTATAAGCAGCCACTTTTCTTTAAAGTGACCAACCTGAAGCTGAGACCTGGCTGACATTTTGTAGGTGTCACAGTACCACACATACCTCTGCTCTTTGACACTGAGCTTCCACATGCTCCACATCTTTCTTTTCACTCTTGCCATTTGGAAGCGCACACATATACCCTCTCACCTATTTGCTCGGCTACTGTTTGGAATACCTAAGAATACATGCAAATATACACCCCTGTTTATATTCCTAGGTACCAACAGAACTGAGGAGCTAAAGGAGATTGCTCACAGTCAAAGCTCCAAGGCCAGACATTTCGATCTCGGTTGGACCAAGGAGTAACTGATGCTCAAGGATAGTTTCTCTCCACCTCCCCACCACACCTGATCACCTAATTAAGGCAGCAGTCCATTCTCCCCAACACTCTGTTCCCCCTGATCTAACATTAAGACTTCTCAACAATATGCATCATTTAAACAAAAAACAAAAAAACCACCCAAGTATCTTGCATGTCTAATGTTCAGAAGTATAGTAAGTCCCCAATTTCTGAGTGGCAAACTTTTATAGAGGTACTGTACAAGACTTACTGCTGGCTTACAAACAAATCTGACTTACAAACAATTCCCTGGAATGGAACTCTTTCCTAAGTCAAGGACTTGGAGCCAAAGAAAATGGGATCTTTGTATTTTATCTTGAAACCAATTATACTAAAAACTTCGTTGGAATTCACCAAGATCTCTTACAACCTTGCAGTTCTAGACTGTTACACTGTCTCAAATTTAGCTTTCAGAAAGGGTCTCCAGTGATGTTTCTAACTTCCATAAACTAAACAAGAATTTAGTAATTCAATGTAAAGGTACAGAGGAGTTGAGTTAAGGTACAAAGGATTAGCTTGATTCTCAGGTTTTAAAATTTTTCAGGAAGCCTCAAACCATCTTCGGCCAAGGCAAGAACCTTGAAGAATTTCACGGCAAGAATTTAGAACGTTTCCATTTCTCCCATGACCTCTTCATATTCCCTTGAAAGCTCTAATTCTTGTATTTCTTGATATTCTATGTCCCGTTTTCCCAAAAGATACCCAGCAATGTATACCCACACTTTTTCCACACAAAAGCCTGGGAAAACGCTTACTCTTCAGCCACAGGAAAATCTCACTGGGCTCTCAGATAAGAGTATTCACTGTTTTCAAGGGAAATAATATGAATAGAAAAGGAAGGCAAGGGCTTGAGGGTGAAGCTCAGTGGCAGATATGCTTAGAAAGGCCCAGGGTTCACCATAAGCACCAAAAACATGAAAGGAAAGCAAGACTCAGATGTGGTCAGAATAAAGCAGAGTAGCTAACACAACTAAAACCACCCTAAAGGGATGTGTATCCCTGGTTTCTTCCTACCTATGAGACTCAGCTTTCTGGTACTATGACAGATCCCTAAGGTATTCCACTTAAAAAGAGGAAAGGTTGTTAACGTATCTCAGTGCTTCCCTAGCAGGCATGAGCCCCTGGGTTCAATCCCCAGCACAGTTCACAGCTGGCTCACAGTTAGGAAGGCTTCAGTCTACGGTCAATTGGCCTGTGGTGCCCAGCACACTGTGGTGGATCAAGCTGCCCACCTCATGATGGCCAGGAAACAGAGATAGGAAGGAGCCAGGACCCCAATATCTCCTTCAAGGGCACATCCCAGTGACCTAATTCCCCCCCTAGGTTCCACCACTTAAAGGTTCCACTGTCTCCCACAGGCCACAGGATGGTGACTAACCCTTACCACACAGGCCCTTGAGGGATGCTTATCCAAACCACAGCACCAGCCCCCGCTACCATAAAGAACACCTTAAGTGCTCCCTATTTCTTACTATTAACAATGAGGACAATATTACCACCTTCTTCAGCGGATTGTGGAGGCTCAAGATCATACTACTAATAAAGTTCCAGAGCCAGCACCCAGGCTTTGTATTCAAACCCCACTCGTCCTTCCCAATATTCAGCACCATTTTTCTTGGTGATCCCATTGCTGAGATCCTCGATATTGTTTCTGTTCCTCCATGTATAAGGAACACTACCTGGACTTGTTCTAGGGTTCGACATCCAAGAATTCTGTTGCTCTGCTTCGAAGCTCGGTCATTTGCACATCCGAAAGATGCTATCCCCTCTGATAACCAATTGGTGCCCACTCTCCATCCCCAAAAGTTAACAAGAAGAAACGAGGTTAGAAAACTAGGACAACGCGGAAAGTTCTCTATTCTACAAGAACTGAAGTCAAGCCATAGATAACTGAAATGAGCAATCAACCAAGTCTCTTCCATCGACGATTCTGAATCAGTCCACTTGACCTGAGGATTCCCACCCCCGAGCCCCTTTCTCCTGGAAATGCGCACAGAGAGAAGGCAGTCTGTGACCTCTGCGACCAGCAGTGCTGAACCCACCCCGGACACCTAAAGTGGGCAGCGACGGACCAGTAAAAACTACCGGGCTTCCTGGGTCTGCAAACTTCGGAGCAAGTAGGCCCCTATCGCAAAGGAGCTGGGGAGGGAGAGGGGTTCCTTTGCAAGACAGGACCAAAAACAAACAGCGAGGAAAAAAAGTTTTAGAATTGGCCCCAGGTCATCCCAAGCACAAGTTCCTACCATAACAATAAGTTTTTGCAACGCTTTACCACTTACCTTGCCCAAAGCGGCGAGGAAGGGACTGAGGAAGTGGACCATTGCCGGGCGGGAGGCCCAAAAGGGCAGGAAGTGGAAGCTGTGGCCATTTGCGGGAAAAGGGAAGGAGCAGCGGCTAGAGAGAGGTGGGGCACCGCCCCCGTCTCCGCAGCCCTGGCCGATCGGGAAGACCAAGGTTCTCCCCACCCGGGACCCCGGGAGGCGAGCGGGGCGCTGCCCGGGTGTCTCCCTCCGCCGGCCTCTGGCAGCGGGAGACCCGGCCGCCTCCCGGCCACAGGAGGCCACCAAACGAGCGCAGGGCGGCGCGCCCAATCCCGGCTCACCCCACCCCGAAGCCCTGACAGGGCGCGGAACCTTACCTGGGACCCGTCCCGCGCCGCCTCCCCGGTCCGCACCGGCCCGCCGCTCTTAAACGCGCCCCGCCCCCTCCCGGGGCCGGACCCCAGCAGTCCCCTGCCGATTTGTCATTGAGCAGTCCCAGCTCGCTTCCCCACCCCTGAGCGCGCCCTCGGCGTCGTCCAGGCAACCCCTCCTCTCGGGAGCGCGCTCTCCCTTCCGCTCTCTCCAGCCCCCTAGAGGCCACGCCTACCAAGGGCCTGTCAGCCCATCCGAAGCGGGTCGTCCAAGCCGCGAGAGGCCCGCAAGAAGCTTTCACCAATGAGAAGCCGTCTCACACGGAGGGGCGTGTCCGTCAGGCGCGCCCCGCCCCGCTTCATTTCCTTCTTTCGGCAGCCGAACGCGCTGCACGTGACCGCTGCTGCATTGGCGGAGCTCGGAACCGGTCTGGGGACGCTGGGCGTGGGCGGGCGGAGCGGCGCCTGGTTGCGGGATGTAGGCCAGGACGAGCCTAGATTAGTGAAAAGCGAAAGGGAAGGACAGATCTGACATAGGGAAATGAAGGAAAATTAAGAGGCGGCCAAGTGTGCAAGCGAGCAGGTGTGAGAGGCTCCGGGCAGTTCTGGAGACTACTGCCAGGGGTCAGCTAATGACACCCCATGACAGTAATGGAGCAACTTAACTAATGCCTCCCTGTAAGGACCCAGGCCACACACAGGAGCAAAGTCCCTAGTCGCAGCCACACCCTGAGGCCAGCCAGGTACCATAGGTTTTCTCCTACAGTCTGTCTCTGCCCTCGCCCCTCTTGGCCCTTTGTCATTTTCTGGCCAAATAAAACTTCGCTGCAAGTTGATTTTCCTAAGTATCCCCTTTCTAGATCTGAAAACTGAACACCTTCTCCTCCACACCTTTTGTGGCTCGTGGGATGCCACAGAGTATTGCAATAAATAGTTTAAACGTTGGCCTCTTTAGTCTCTAAGGAAGGCAACTTGTTCAAAGCGATGCCCACAGCAGCTAGCACAGTGTAATGCTTTCATTGTTGATAATAACTGTAAGTTATGATAGATATGCATTATACTGTAGGCTTTGTTCTTTGATTAGATTGCTATGTATCAGCAACTAACAGGCCGGTCAACACATCGATAGCAAAAAGCACAGAGGCTTAACAGGAGATTACACATACACGCTGTGTGATTACACAATACAGCGCAAGGAACTGGTGGACGCCCCACAAATATGCACTTACACTGTGATTGCCACCAGAGGTTGCCGTATACATCATCCAGTGTTCATCCAGCCTGCCATGGCCTTTCTTCCCCATGCACATGGGTACCACCCTGGTACTAATTGTGTGCAGCCTGGTGCAGGGGCTGCAGCCCCTGCCTCAGTGAAATGAGTAGGTCCGAAATCGGATCACACGCAGGCCGGAAGTTTCCTGTCCCTCCCACCCCCCAGACCCCATGGTATGGGAGGTTTTTTACCTCTCCTGAGGTACATGACTGCCATTCCTTCTATTCAGGAACAGGATGCACTGACCAGAGAAAGGTTAACTTGCGCCCACCCCTCACCAGGGAAGGGTCTGGCTTTTGTGGGTGGAGGGACAAAGCAAGAGAGGCTGCATGACCCTGGCTGAGGGGGCAGGGGGCTCTGTCCCTCCCCAGCTCTGGAGAAGACTCAGTTTGGGTAGGAAAGAGATGGCCTTGGCAAGTGAGAGAGGGAGGATCCACAGTCACAGAGCAAGGCCCAGAAGAGCTCTTCCCTCTGAGATGCAGCCCTGCCCTCCTCTAGGGCAGTAGGCAGTGAGGAAAGGGCCTGGGGTGTCCCAGAGCACTGTGGGAGGTGCCTGCTGCTAGGACAAAGACAAGACAGACCAAGCGCAGGCCAAGGTCTAGCAGTTTAGTGAAACCCTATCTCAAAATTTAAAATTTAAAAAATAGAAGGGACTGGGAATGTAGCTCAGTGTGAAGACCCTGGGTTCAAAACAAAAACCAAGACTCACACAGTACCAAATACATATGTTGGGAGGTGGGAGTGCCTGGAATGTTCTTTCCATAGCTGCAGTGGGTTAGAGGGATTTTGAGGGTCTTGCTGGGGATCTTGTATTCCTGCTGCTCAGGCCCCAGGCTCTGTCAGGAGTCAGAGTTCCACTAGGAAAAGATCAGCGCAGCTGGAAATCCCTGAAACCTGGCATGAGCCATCCCAGAGGCAACTAAGGCCGGAGGCCTCATGGTATCCTTTCCTGGCAGGTTATGTTTCCAGACCAGTGTCTTGTGTGAGCTGCTCCAAAAGGGTGCTGCCTCTGCTATCTGAATCCAACTCACTAAGTATTCTCTCACCTCCCACCCTTCACCCTTGCCTGCCTTCTGGAGCAGATGCAGGAGCAGATGCAGGGGGGAAGGAGGGTCTATGTGCAAAAAATACTAGGGTTACAGGCATGTGCCATCGCACCCAGCTCTGTGATTCTTCACTGTTGTTTGACAGATACTTCTCTCCTCTGGGCACAGGATAGAATTAGACTCCTCAGCTGTCTGTAGTTGGGTGGGACCATTTGTCTAGCACCACCCAATGACTTGTAAGCAGAAATGATACATATATCCTTTCCAGGCTGGGGAATGTGATTGCCGGTGTGAAACCCTCCAGAGCTCTCTTGTCCCTAGTATAGTCACTGGGGATATTGGAAAGAGTGGCTTCTCCATCAGCATGGGCTTCTACAATGAGCACAACCCCTTGATTCAGCATGACTGAGAAGAAACTTTTGTGGCACTACAAATCTCTCCAGGACTGGTCCTCTGTTCAGCTGCAGGATATAAGTAAAGTATTACACTGTGCCTGAAGCTCATCAAGAAGTGCTTGAAACTGAAAAGCACGAGCTGTGATGTAATTCACCATTTTTGTAACATCTTTGAAGATATGGTCTAACTTTTTGCTCATTTCCTTGGCACAAACAGCTTCTTGATGTATAATATAATGAAATGGAATGACTGGATGTTTTCCTTCTTTACCGAAGAACTGTATTAAACCAGACATTGCCCCTACTGTGCCAGCTGGTCTGTCATTTGTAATTGAAACCACATTATCTGGTCTCATATCTCATGACAAAAAGCCTCCATCACAGCATTGTAGCTATAGACCCCTCGTGTTCTTCAAGGCAAAGATACAAGTTTCACCAGCTCTTCTCTCTTGATGTCATCAACAGCAAAACACAAAATTATTCCTGGCATTGCATGAGTATTTATATCTGCACTTTCACCCATGCACATGTAGTAGCAGGCTGCCTTTTATAAGTCAGTGGTGATCTGCTAACATCACTTGCCATGTGAAGGATTCAATCATTTACAGTATTTCTACTAAGTGGCATCTTAGAGATGCATTGCATAACTTTATCCTTGTTTTGGGAAATCGTGAAAAAGGGAATTACTCCCAGACAACATGGCCATTTTGATAAAATCCCCATCAGAGAGGGGCCTACCATGGTTTGCTATGCTCAGTCATATTTGAAAGTTAGAAGCTGTCAGCGGATTTGTTTAAAAAAGATAGTTGCAAAAACTAAGATACTTGGAATATTTCCTCACTTTCCGCTTCACCAAGTTTAGCAGCACTTTTGTCGTTGGTGTCAAACTGCCATCTGACACTTTGGTGTGGGACACACAACACTTTCGCTACACATAATACATAAGGCTTTCCCATGGCATGGAGTCACTCCAAATGATTCTGTCTAGGCCTCTTGGAATAATCATCCACTATCTGTTTTCAGTTTTTCTTTTTTTTTGCTGTAGTCATTTTTTTTTTTTTTTGGTGTTCAAGATTTGGAATCTAGATTTGGAGTCTAAAATTTTAGTGTTCAAGATTTTGGAAAACACAAAAATTTTTAAAAAGAAAACCCAATAAATCTATCACTATACCAAAAATAGCTAACACTCTTAGTTAACACTGAAGAATTGGATATTTCCTGAATCATCAGTCTATGGCAGTGATTCTCAGCTGGGGTTCCTCTTGAATTTGCTGACCACTAGTTTAAGGGGGCCATGTTCCATTGACCACCCGCTTTTGGCTGCTTTGAAAAAGGCATCTGAGTGCACTTCCTACCTGATGGTGGCACCTGCTAAAATCATAGCCAGTCTAAGACAATCCAGGCCCCACCCCCCAAAAAAACCTTGCTCTTGTTTTCATCAATTCCTTACAAACAATTAAATATGATGCTGCAGATTCAAATAGGCCAGGGGGACAACACAACATTAAAAGTATCTAAGTCTCTTAATTAGAATGTCTCTTTGCTAAAGCTTACATATTAAATTTCAATTTTTCATAAGAAAACTTATAGTTAAAATCTTGTAATAAAAACAAATGTATTAAAACTCACGGCCAGTCCAATCCATGAGAAAGTTCAGACGAATTTCAGTGAATGAGTTATAGCTCATGACATCATGAGCACCGACATCATCAGCACTGCTACTCCTTTCCAAGCATGACCTGTGCGCGCGTTGTTATCTGATGTTTGGTTGCTGGGGTGATACTGAGGCAACTTGGCTAGCATGCTGACAGAGAGGGCTCTGTGTGCCCACAGCAGCACACATGCCATAGCTTCATATTGTCCTAGTGAGATGGAAGCTACTAATGAAGTTTGGGCTGGAAGGCTGATATACTTTGATTTAGGAGTTAAAATGCTCACTCTAGCTGTCATATAGAGAAGAGGCTGAAAGGAGCAGGTGTGGGAGTGGAAGTTCCAGAGGTTCAAGCACAATGAGTTCCACAAGGCTAGAGGCTACAGAGGGTGCTCAATCCTCAGATAACAGGAGATATGGGGAGATTGCTGGAGAAGGGGAGCAGAAGAACTGGACACTACACTAGGAGTATCCTCCTGCCACAACCCCAGGGAAAACATAGACAAGGTTTGCGGTGAAGAGCACCTGAGGCTTTGACACCAGGGATATGGATGCTCAAATGCCAGGCAGGAACTCGGGGAGGGTGTGGAGAGGGAGAGCTGACTGATTCCCTAAGCATCAGCCAGTATTAGAGTTGCTCCCTTGAGCTGGTAGGATCATATAAATAGATGGTATTATTAGAAAGCGCCCAGACAAGCCCCTGGCATCTTTGTGAGCATTTAACCACCTGAGGGGGACCATCTCAGAAAAAAAATGAGGTTGCCCATCTGAAGATGGGGGAGCATTGCCACATACTGAAAGTTATGGAAAGAATCTAATTTAAGCAGCGAAATTTGATGGACTTTTAAGTAT